CTGAGTTTCTCCAGCAATTGCTATTTTTATTTGCTGCATCTGTACACTGTGACACAGTGGAGCAGGTTGTGTTAAATGAGGTGGTGGGTGAGATGCTCAGGCTTTCATGCATTATTTTCACTGCTTATGCTTGGCCACTGCCTGGGCCTGTCAGTGATACTCAATCTGGATGTGAAATGTTGTGTCACTGTAGTCTTACCAGACCATAGGGATGCTCTCTCATGAGAGAGACCGATGACTGGTGGTGCTTTTATGTGAGGGCCACCATATGTCAGGTGGGGGAAGAGGTTGAGAAGGAGAGTCCTTTATGGTAACCTCATACCAGTGATGGGAATTGAACCCACACTGTTGGTGTCTCACTGCTTTGCAAACCAACCATCCAGCCAACTGAGCTAAACTGACCCCAGGATATGAAATAATTAACTCAAATGGAAAGGTAAGTTTCACTTTGTGTTTCACAGGTATGATTGTAATCAGAAAGGCTCATGAATTCTGCATTGGGTTACAACTGCTGGTATAGATTTCCAGAGATAACACACTGTGGAGCTGGAGGAACACAGCAGGTCAGGCAGCATCAGAGGAGCAGGAAGATTGAAAGTGGTGGATAGGGTGCCAGTCAAGTGGGCTGGTTTGTCCTGGATGGTATAAAATATTTTGCGTATTGTAAGAGTGGCACACACCTAGGCAACTGGAGAGTATTACATCATACACTTGACCTGTGTCTTGGAGATAATGGACAGGTTTTGGGGAGTCAGGAGTTGCTGCACGGTATTTAATCCCTGACCAGCTCTTGTAGGAACAGAAATTATATGGCCAGTCCAGTTCAGGTTCTGATTAATGGTAACCCGTTGTGATATTGACAATGGGGAAATTCTGTGATGGAAACTCCATTGAATGTCAATAGGAAATGGTTAGATTCTCTGTTGTTATAGATGGTCATTGCTCAGCACTTGTGAGGTGCAACTAAAACCATAAGATGTAGGAGCAGAAGTAGGCCAGTCAAGTCAAGTTGCCTAAGAATCTTTAATGTTTCAATAAGGTTGGCTCTCGTTCTTCTTAACTCCAATGAGTGGAGACCCATCTTACTCAATTGTGGCTCATAAGACCATCCCTCTTACCCAGGATCAACTGAGTGAAAATTCCCTGGACTGCTTCCAACATCTTTCCTTAGATAATGGGACCAAACTGGTTGATTTCCTCACTCCTTCCCAGACATTTTTACCAGGCACCTTGGTCTTTTTCCATCGAAGGGCCTGGTGACCCGAGTGTCTGCCACTTGGTGACCCAGTACCCGCCCAGTGGAATCCACCAAGTGACCCCCCTGCCAGTGATCCTGGGTGTTGTGACTGTGGGGAAGAGAGCTAGCAGGTGGGACAGATCCCTCCACCACACTCAAAGTGGGGCAGGGGAAGTGGGCCGAGGACGATAGCCCAGATGAGGGTGAGGACTTGGTGGTGGGTGCTGGGAATGACACGGAGTCAACCTCCAGCGGCCTGATAGATTCCCTAGTGCCCCCCATCCCCCTCCACTGAGCTCCACCTCATCCTCACCTTAGTTCTGGGATTCATTCTGTTGGTTCCGGGCCGGATGCAGAAAGAAGCAGGGGGCTTCTCCTTCCTGAGGCTGTGGTGGGATGTGGAAAAGAATCATATTCGGGTCTTCTGTCAGGAGTACGCGAGGAAGTCAACAAAGAAGCAGAAATCCAGGATCGAAGAGACGCTTGACCTGGAGTTACATCTCAGTCAGCCTATGGTGGATGTAGCAGTTGGGAAGTGAGTACGTGAGATAATGGATCCAGTTCCCCGAGGACCTGGACTGCAGCCCTCCCTCCTTCTTCTTGCTGGAAAAAAGGCACGGTCCGTCAGCAGCTACTTGTGCATCTGGGCCTGGACCACAGCCTATTACACAGCTCTGTTCTCACTGGATCAATCCAGCAAGGATACTCGCACAGTTCTGAGGGAAAATCTACTGCAGGTCAGTCCAGGGGATGCCAGCATGCTTGATGCTCCCATCGCTTTAGAGGAGCTGGTAGGTGCCCTCATTCGTCTCTTGAGGGGAAAGGCCCCACTGATGGATGAGCTGACTGTGGAGTTCTTCCGGGACATCCTGGGGAGCAACTACACCTGCAGGAATTATTGCTGCTGGAGAGCTGCTACTTTCATGGCATAGAGTGGTTTTTGTCATGGTAGAAGAAGCTAACAGCATCTCCATGAGGAAGGAAGCTGCAAGACCCACTTATGTGAGACCCTTTATAGGGCAAGAACATTACACATGGACTCAGACCTGTGAGGTCCCTAATTGCTGGCATTGGCTCCCTGTGTGCTCTATAACCCTCTGCCCTAGACATTGCTGATCACTTCATTTGACAGAAACACTTTTTCACACAGAGACCAGGGAAGGAATAGAGATGTTTGACCAAATGGGCAATGTTGGCAATAGGACCCATTGCCCTATAAACACCTTGTTCATCTTGCTTCCATATGCTACAATAGGCTCTCAACATAGAAACTGATTCATAGTACATCCTGTAGGCATCATGGGAGCAGAATTACATTTGAATCCACACAGAGACTCAAACAAACAGTGGCGCACAAACAATAGCATTTTTCCGGTGTCTCCTCATCTAAATGTGATACCTCTTCTGCAGTGCAATGTCACCTGTGACACCAAAGTGCCCTCAAGAGGTTTCATTTTCTCTCATTCCCACTACATCTCAGTGTTGCCCCGGGTTTCGCTATTGAGGTGGAGAGATCCTGTTCAGCAGTGGAGCACGTTGGCTTTGGGGGTTTGGTCAGGTGAGGTGACCTCAGAGGCATTTGTGTCAGAATTGTCCACACCTGGTGAGGATCTTCTTGCCAGAGGCTAGTGAACCCTTCTCGGCTTGAACTTCTAAGGCTTGGAGGGGGGCAAGCATGTTGGAGGTGCAGGGATGCCTCTGGAACATCCTGAGGCGAGACGTCTAACCAGCCCATGTGTGTTTTCTCCTTCAGCTGGGTGTCTCCTGGCACCCCACCCCCTGTGCCTTTGTGAGGAAGGGCCACCCGGAGTGAGCACGAGGTTACCTGTTGCACTGATGCCATGTCTTCATTCCTGAGGACCTTTGGCTAGGGCAATGGAGTGCAGGTGAGAGCACATTTTCAGCATAAACTAAGAGTGCAGGACCCAGGTTGCTATGGCAGCCAGACGATCACATGCTTAATACAGCTGGGTCCTCATTGCATAGCTGCACTCCTGCAGCCTCTGGGCTATGAGGCATTGCCTTACACATGCCTGTCTGCTGCTCCTATGCCCTCCTCCATCCCCCACCCCCAATGCATTTAAACCAAGTACCTGATTGTGCACACCACAGGGTCCTCTCCTGCCTGGGGCTAAACAGTTGCCTGGTCTCTGGCAGTCCTTCAAATGACAGCAGTTAGGGGCATGTCTTCCTCAGGCAGCTGCACAGATGTCACAAGTTCTCACCAGATTGTGCTTTCAAATGTTCGAATTGTGATGTTGCCGATGAGGTGTCAGAATCTGAGCCTCACCAATGCTTCCTCTGAGCTCTCCTCCTCAGAGGTTGAGGAGGTGCCTTCTGGCAGAGCAGCACGTTTCTCCATGGGGGCTGTGGACATTGCACTGGTACCTGTGAGACTCAGGGAGGGATCAATGGTTAGAAGTGGCGTACAATGAATAATACACACAGTGGGGTTAATGTGTGTGTTGCAATGAAATGAAGAAAGATACTTACTTGACTGGCAAGACATGAGTATTTTACCATTCCTGCAGGAGCCGATCCCGGTTTTCTCTTGTGAGGGACAGGATTTTCTCCTCATAGGAGGTGAGGAACCTGATGTTGGCATTCGTCCACTCATTCTGGCCCTTTCCACCCTGTAAGGGTCTGTATTCTCCTGGAATGAGAGAAGTGGGGAGGTGGAATTGAATGAGATGAAAGAAGATGGCACAGCTGTTAGTGCAGGTGCAGGTGGTCAAAAGGCGGAGGTGTCCCAGGCAAGTGAGTAGGTCATGCAAAGGCCTGTGAAGTAACAGACAGAAGAGTGAAGCATTTACCCTGATGGAGCATAGAACGCTATTGACCTTCTTGAGCATTTCAGAAAGGCTGTCTTTCAACAAGCAGGGCAACTTCAGAATGCCAGTGTTTGGGTCCACAGCAGGCATTTAAAGATGGCATGGACAACAGGAATGTCTGTCTTTTGGCACATATTCAGTGTATGGTGGTTCTCCATGAAATGGTGAATGCTAGAATAGGACTAGGATTAGGCAAGAGGGGCACCTTACAGGCAGGGAGGTCATAAAGTTGTAGAGTCATATAGCACGGAAACAGCCCCTTTGGTCCAACCAGTGCATGCCAAACCTATTCCTAAACCAAACTAGTCCCACATGCCTGCACTTGGCCCACATCCCTTCAAACCTTACCTATTCATGTACTTATCCAATTGTCTTTTAAACATTGTAATCGTACCCACATCCACCACTTCCTCTGGCATTTAGAGACCTCACAGGGAGAGACCCTCTGTGAAACCTGATGAAAGTAACATTTAGCCAAAAAAATATAAAATTCAGCCCATACTTCAGAGAGGAAGATGTCCCAGGTTGAAATTAGGTGAGAAATAAATTAAAATGCTTATGTACAAAAGAAAATAGGCCAGTAACAATAGTTGTTGATGCATTAGCTGCCCCTTCTACTCTTCAGCATTTTTCTGATTTGTTTCCAGTTAATGCTTCATTGTATTCCCTTAATTTTGCCTTCTCTGAGAAACAGTTTCAAAGTCTTTCTGTGTTCTGGATTATGTGTCAACACCTAAAATATCAAAGGACTTATTAAATTCGTTGAAATTGTAAAGAAAAGAAAAAAAAACTATCTTCCAGCAGTTTATGTTTTTAATCTCATCCAGTCTGCGCAATGGTATAGCACCCGAATGAATGAGGGTAAGGGTTTGGGGGGAAATGACATGGAACTGTTTTGAGTTGAAAAGTGAAATGCAACGGGCGGAGTGCACTAATCCCGCGGACTCGCCGTAGTGAGGTCACGGGACTGGTCTCTTGGCAACAACACGGGACTGGTAAGATGGCGAATGTGGCCAACAAAGTTTCCTGGTCCAGTAAAGATGATGAGGCTCGGCCCGGAGAGAATACTCCGTTATTGAACGGTTCCCCCAGCGCTTCTCAGAGCCCGGGACTGGCCCGACAGGTAAGTCCCCGCCAGGTGGTTGGCTCCTGGCCGCTTCCAGCCGGTGAATGTTTGTAGCTAACACACGGCGCCTGTCATCTCCCAGCGGCTGATGTTTATGGAACCCTCTGTGCTGCTTCAGGGCTCGCTTGTTTTGGAATTAGTAGTAAAAACAAGTAAGGAAAGATTTGGAGATTCCTTACCATTGTTTTCCCTCATTGGGGTCGATCAGTTTGTGTTTAAACAGGCGTTTGATAATAAACAAGAAGTCAATTTCGGTGATAGATTTGAAATGATGATACTTTGAAATTGGTGCTACTGGATTAATCGAATCTTTTTTTCAAAGATTTGGATGATATTTAAAGCTGGGAAGTTCGCTTTTTTATTTAAAAAAAAGGTATTTTGCTCTTCTGATATGTTAAGTTTTATAAATGATGACCTGTAATTTGAAAGGTCAATCAGGTGCTGTCATCACTCCATTCTATGCAAAATTGTAATCTAATCTCTGGATTCTGCTATTCTTTGTTAATCTTGGCAATCTTTGAATTTAGATCCAATTTCATGATATGGTAACTGTGAGTGTTATTTGAGTAGTTTGAAAAATGCTATTTCTGATCAGATTCCAACTTTGAAATCACCTGGATAATTTTGATTGTTTTGTACTGTCATGTCACAAGTCATTATATGGATGTTGTAGATGTTATGATGTCGGAAGGCTCAATTCAGAATATTTTCATGCAGTACTTGATCAGCACAAACTTTCATTTTTATTTATTTCTGGGGTATGAATGTCACTGGCCAGGCATGTATTTATTGTACATCCCTAATTGTCCAGAGGGCACTTGAGATTCAACTGCATTGCTGTGGGTCTGTAGTCACATGTAGGCCAGACCAGGTAAGGATAGCAGATTTCCTTCCCAAAAGGACGTCAGTGAACCAGATGAGCTTTCCTGACAATCGGCAATGGTTTCATGGTCATCATTAGAACCCTTCCAGATTCTTTATTAAATTCAAATTCCACCATTTGATTTGAAGCTGGGTCCCTGCCTGTCTGGATTAATAGTCTATTAATAATACCACTACTAGTGACCATTGTTTCCTCTGTCTATGAGCAAAGCATTTTTATATTTGTGTATTCAAATTCCCAGAGTATTTGGAAGAGTTGAATTTGTTGCAAGATAAAAGAATGAAGAGCTGTACATCATGATGTCTAGTTGCAGGCAGCTTTGGGTGGTGTCTGGCTGCAAGACTGGTTCAGAACAGTACAGATGAAACGCTTTCCTTTCACTGAAGAAAGCGTTTGCATTAATTGGTGGCATAGTGGATAGTGAACAGGGTTATCCAAGAGTAAAATGTGATCTTGATCAACTGGGCCAGTGGGCTGAGGAATAGCATTTGGAGTTTAATGCAGATAAATGTGAGGTGTTGCATTTTGCTAAGACAAACCAGAGCAGGACATACACAGTTAATGATAGAGCCCTGGGAGTGTTGTTGAACAGAGACCAAGAGATGCAGGTACATAGTTCCTTGAAAGTGGCATCACAGGTAGATAGGATGGTGAAGAAGGCTTTTGGCATGCTTGTCTTCGTTGGTCAGAGCATTGAGTACAGGAGTTGGGACATCATGTTACAGCTATATGAGTCATTAATGAGGTCACATTTGGAGTACTGTGTACCATTCTGGTCACCCTGCGATAGGAAGGATGTTATTAAACTGAAAATGGTGCAGAAAAATTTACAAGGATGTTACTGAGAGCAGAAGGTTTGAGTTATAAGGAGAAGCTGGGTAGGATGGGAATTTTTTTTTTTCCTGGAGGTGGCTGAGGGTCGACCTAAAAGGGGTTTATAAAATCATGAGGGACATAGAAAAAGTGAATGGCTAAGGCCTTTTCACCAGGGTAGGGGAGTCCAAATCTAGATTTAAGGTGAGAGGGGAAAAATTTAAAAGGGACGCAAGGGTCAACTTTTTCTCATGGAGAGTGGTATGTATGTGGAACAACTGCCAGAAGAAGTGGTAGAGGCAAGTATAATTACAACATTTAAAAGACATTTGGATTAGTACGTGGATAGGAAAGATTTAGAGGGATATGGGCCAATAGTTCAGTTTAGGAAACCTGGTCAGTGTGGACGAATTGGGCTGTTGTGGAGTTGCATGCTGTGCCACTTAATGTGGACATTGACTAGAACCAAATGGCATTCCTGGAGAGACTTGCAAGTTTGGACATTGAGCTCTTGCTGACTGCCCGTTCTGTTTGTTCTTCCTCATTTGGAGAGAGGAGGTCTGACAGTAACAAAAGGATGCAATATGATATAGAGAAATCTGAAATAAGGGTTGGGGTAGCTCATGTTTATTCTTGTGTCAAGGTTTTGAGTCAGACTTTTCTTGGTAACCTATTGCATATTATAGTAGATAGGAGGCTTCTGGAATGAAAATACAGCTTCAAGGCTAGTTTAGACCCCAAAAAACAAAATACAGTTTGTGATACTTGATATGTACCCCACAATAGGCCGATGAATTAGAGGTTAATGAGCAAGAAAACAAACAATACTATGATGAAAAGTAATTAATATATTACATGATTGTCAGATTAACAAAGGAATAGTCATGATGGTGGAGGTTGATGCAAAGATATCAGATTCACATGTAATAAAAACATGATAAACTGAGAAGAGCAGATAAAATCTTCAATTTAAAAACAACTGCATTTTACACAAAAATACAAGTCCAATCATATGCTAATAAAGGAAGAAAATGTGAGTTATTGCTAAGCACCCACAAGTCTTTGTGTATTCTGATGGATTTGCTAACTTGATTATGAAGCTACCTTCCCTTTTCCCAATTGCTGATTCTCACAATATTGCAAATGCCTCATTCTAAGGAAAATAGAAGGTTAGTTAAGACTTAGGGTTAGTAAACTTCGTACTAAAAGCAAAGGGTGACATTGTGTTAGTGAACAGATGAGGTACTGCTTTTGAGATTTGTGTTGAGCTGTATTGGAAAGTATAGGAAAGCAAACATTGAGATGTAAAGGCAGATCAACTGAAATTTACTTGTTCTTGACTTAGTTCTGCTAATCTTGTTTATTGAGCTTGATTTGCATTTTTCAACCTGGATTTTGGGTACCATTGGGGTCAAGTGTATATGGCTCTGCTACTTTACAGTAAGAGAGCCCGAGTGAGAGAGAATCACTATGGAGTGAGATCTCTGCAGTATTTATTTTGTAATTTAAAATTGGAACATACGTAATTTGGTATGAATAGATCAGTTTTTAAGATTGCACATAACTGCATTAAAGTAAATAGGAACGTTAATACTTCAAGCACAATGTAGATGATGCTTAATATCCAACCAGTAAAAATGATTTTTAAAAAATGTAGGCGTTAAGTTCAATGTGAGAATAGTGTTCTCTGATTCTATTACTTCAGTAGAATATAGAGTCCAACAGCACAGAAACAAATCCATCAGTCCATGCCAAACAATCCCAAACTAAACTAGTCCTACCTGCCTGCTCCTGGCCCATATCCCTCCAAACCTTTCTTATTCATGTATCCATCCAAATGTCTTTTATATGTTGTAATTGTACCAAATCCATCGCTTGCTGAGGAAGTTCATTCCACACACGAACCATCCTCTATGTAAAAAAGACACTAGGGACTTTTTTTTTAAAAACATCTCTCTCCTCTCATTTTAAAAATATAACCTAGTCTTTGAAATATTTTTAAAAAGAAAAAATTGTCTGGATGGTATGATGATGAAAACATAGGGGTTTAAAAAAAACACAGACCTCCCACAAAAATAAATGGAAGTTGGGGCAAATGATCAAAAAGGAGAGAAACTGGGTTGTTTCGCATGGGTGAAGAAGCATAAACTGATTGTTAAAGAAAAATACTGAAATAATAAATAAAGAACAAGAGAAATACTCAATAAGACCAAAAATATAAGAGAGGAGGAGGGTGTGTTGTAAGAGTTGGCCGAGTTTCGGGCCTCTCATCAACTGATGGCCTGGTTTGGGCATGTGCACTGTGCGCTGGTCACCCCACCTCCCCCTTGCGGCTGCCATTTTCTCAGCCCCGCAGACTGGTGGCCCTTTTGTCTTAGTCAGCTTCTCCTTGTAGGGAAAAAATCAAAGGTAAAAAAGACATGCGCTTTCCCTTTTGTGGATATTGAAGTATTTCTTGGATAAAAATATGTGAACTTCACATAAAAATGCAAGTCGTTCATTGGCCAATGAAGGAAGAAAAAAATGAGCTTCAATTCACATGAAGAGCCAGTTATGATCTGAACGTGGAGAATCAACCCTGCTACTGTGGGAAGAAAGAATGTAAATACTGAACATGGTACCATGGATATTGCCAAATAGCTCTGGTGTTCGTAGGAGGAATCTAGTTTCAGTTAACAACATAATTTGGACTTTTTGACTAGCCTGTAAATGTTTATTCCTATTACCACTCTGACTCAGATCATGACCTGTGTATTTAGCACAAGTGAAGTCCAACATGGAATCTTCCAAGTTAAAATCAGCCACTCACTGCTCTTACAAAGGTTGAACCCCTCCTTACCTGCCCCATCAGAACCCATTAGCAAAATCCCTTCATAAAGTGTGAACTTCTCTGTTTTTCCCTCATCACTGTTAGAAACCCCATAAATAATTGATAAAGATAGAAAAAGCTTGAAATACTCAGCACAGCAGGCAGCATCTGTGAAGAGAAACTGAGTTGATGTTTTGGATTGATGACCTTTCATCAGAAGGACCTTGACATGAAATGTCAACTCTGTTTCTGTCCATGGTGTTATGCTATTGAGGTAAATTGTAAACAAGAGAACAGATTGACCAAATAATCTTCAAATGAAGAAGTGTCCAAAAAAAATTACTTCATGTAATTTTTATTCCAGTATGTACCAATGCAGAATAAACATGAATTAACAGGCAAATGATACATCAGATGAAAAGGCAAATTTCACTTCAAATAGGTATCATAATGAAGATTCTTCTTAACTAACCAGTATTAACGATACTCCTT